AATTGATATAGTCAAAACAACTTCAACTTCACAAAGCTTTTAAAAATTTACTATAAAATCATATTATTCAAAATTAATGCAAATAGAAATCTTATTAATTTTTCTTTTAAAACTTATACTTTAATCATAATAAGATAGCCTCATCTATTGTATGTGCATTGTTTTGTATCTAAAGATTTGGTTTTAACCTTGGTTTATAAATGAATCTCCACCAGTATTATCTTAAGATTTATCAAAATGATTATTTTTAATTACTATTCTTTACTTCATTCATAAGGTACTTGTAATATTACCTTTGCTAATCTACCTTATTTTTTCTTTTTACAGCCATATAAAGTAAGTAGAAGTTCTTTTATAAAAATATAGCATTATCACTTATTAATTTTATTACTTTCTTAATTAATATGTATATTCTTAAGATAATTTTATATTATAATATAAATGAAGCTATTTTAGAATATAATTTTTTTCTCTTTTGTTCAATACTTGTATTATAATATGGCAAAGCCATGCTTTACTTACCCACCTCTCTTCTTATTTCAATATATTTGTCATTAAAGGTTAAGAATTGCCAAAAAAAACCCTCCATTGAATTGTTATCAATGTAGTAGAGTTTCTACAGCTTCTTTTGCAAAAAGAACTTAGTTGTCATTCTTGATAACTTATGTACTTAAAGAAGCTTCTTTCACAATTTTTTTTTGGTGCAACATTTTCAAATGTGATTGTATTAAAAAATATGCATTAAGAAATATTATATTAAAAAATATGCATTAAGAAATAGATATTTTAATAAAAAAATAATATATTATATTATAATAAAGGAATTTTTTTAATAAAATATACTAAAAATTTATTTTATTATTTTTAATATAATAATACTAAAAACAAACAATAAATCTTTTAGAGATTTTACTATGCAAAACTACACTCAAATAGATGGTTTAAATTAAGTTCTAATATAATAAACCAATAAATATATATATATATATAGATATATATATTTTAGAAATAAATTTCATAATTTTATTTTAATTATAAATTATCGTTATAAAAAAAATATCATTATGGAGGTTCAAAAAAAGCATAACATTAATGCCTATACAATATAGTTTATGCTTTTATATTGTAGACATGTCAGATATCTTACAAAGAGTCTTGATGATTTTGAATAATTCAAGTTTTTAGTTGGATAAATCTACAATTCTATATGTAATTATTAATATTATAGTGAAAAAAAATCTATTTTGAATTAATTTTTTTATAATTAAATGTGTCTATTTTTGCATATTTTATCTAATTGTTTTTTAATTTTTATTATAGTTATAGTTAGAAAAAATCTAAAAAATTAAAAGATACTACAACAACAAATTATTATTGTCATGAATAAAAGAATAAAAAAATGAATAAGAACATTAATTGGAAAGCTAGGCTATTATTATTACATTACAAAATATAGAATTTTTAGAACCAATTGACAATGCATGCTTGTAGAGATATGTGATTAAATTCAAATCGAAAAAAAAGTTTATATTTATATTTTAGCATGCCCTATTAAATCAAAAATATGAATTAGCATAAGGATAAAAATATCTATACTTAGATAATATCATAAATAATAAATCCAAAAATATTTATTTCATAGAGAATAATTCAAGAGGTAAAATATAAGATTTTATTATAGTCAAAAAATAATATAAAAAAATTATTGTTAATTTTTATTTTTCTAAATACTCAATGAGAAGAATTTTGACTGTAGTGTCACTTGACCAAAGAAAAAAGAAACAACCAAGATACAAACTTCTAATGTTATAAAAACTTGAAGTACGTTTCTAGAAATATTTATATTTATATATATAATTAAAAATAATATAATATTTTGATTAAAATTAATATTTTAATCATGATATTTTAAGAAACATATATATATTAATAAATTATGTAAATTTTGTTAATATCCTTATGTATTTTTTTAGATTAACAAAGATTTATGCAAATAAGTTTTTAAAATTTTTTTCTTTTTTTAAATAACTTTAAAATTATAATATGCTATTGTTATTTATGCCAATATGTCATTGCCTTCAAAAGAAGAATTTTTAAGTTCCAGATATTGTAATAATACTTCTTATTTTAATTTTAAATGTAAAAATACATTGGAGGATTTTTAAAAATTACCCATCCAATGGTATTTTAAGTTTAATTTATAAGAGATGCCTGAATTTTTATAAAAATCTTGGAATTTTTATTGAACGTTTTAATCTTTATAATTCTATATGAGTATGTATTATTGTGTTGGCTTTAGTATAATAATTATATTCACATGAAATTATTTCAATAATACACATTATAAATGTGCTAATTTTATTTTTCCAATAAAAATATGAAAGTCTTTTTCTTTAAATAAACATTTTAAAACAAATTTAATATTTTTCCGGGGTTTTTGAATGTTCGTGAGTAGTGGTATGTCAGCCTAGATAGGCAGAACGAAACCAAAAGCAATTTTTCTTTTCGTTTTAATTTGTTTTAAAGTGAATTTTTGTTTTAATTCGTCTAAAATAATTTTAATAAAATGTAAAGAATAAATTTTATAGAATAAAGTTCTAACAGTGAAATAATTATAAATATTTGAACTATGCATTAATCAAGGTTTTAATCTAAAAAATTTATATATCATTTATAAATCATACAGAACAATGATAATTGGTCTAGCAATTTTTTCTAGAAAATTGAGCAGCAATGTGATAAAAATGTTCTACTTGGTAAAATATCAATTAAATCTAAAAATTATTCTATGATAATAGTGATATTTATAATTATATTTTTTATGTTTCTCTAAGTTCTTGATTATCACTATGGTCATAATATTTGTAAAAATAATTGAATTCCTCATGTTCATCTATTTTTTTTTATACATGTGACAGAAATAATGAAAAGAAAATATATAATTATAATATTTTAATTACAGTATTGATATATTCATTTTGGAACAACATAAGAATTTTGTAAATATGAGTTGCATTTACAAGTGTAGTTAATACTCTAAGTAGCTATATAAACTTCTTTTAAATTCAAGAAGCTACTATAGAAGCATATCATAACATTGATACTTATCCTACAACTTTGAAACAAGTTTTACAAACCTTTTGGTCTTTAGAAAACTATTACATGATGTTATTGTTAACTAATGTATGTAGGGCAATTCTAAAGTCATATTTTGATCTTGTGAATGCTTCTTTAATACTCCACTCTTAGTTAAGAATCTTTAGTCTCTTTGCACTTATTAATATATGATGTAAGTTATTAATATTCTTTTCCAAATGTCATTTTCTAACCCATATTGTAATTTGATTTTTTTTCTTAGATTTATATGGATACTATACTTGGAATTTAAAATAAAATATAAAATGGCACAAATTAAAAAAAAAAAAAAAAAAAAAAAAAAAAAAATTAGATAACTTCAAAGTTATAAGACGTAATTTCAAAAGCCTTTTCTATAGATTAAATAATAATAAAGAGTTATTAATAAAGAAGGTGTATATAATGCAAAATAAAATAAAATAAAATAAGAATGAAATTCGAAATATTTTACAAGGTATTTTTAAAAAACATAAATGAATCACATGTTTTACTTTTTTGCTTATAATTACTTATTAATGTCATAATAATAATAATAATAATAATAATAATATATCAAATAATAAAATAATGAAAAAAAACTCAAATGTGTTAAACTTTGCATTAAATTAATCGAATAATTTACAAGTGTTGTAAGTATAAAAAAAAAATTAAATTAAATTAAATAAATAAAATCTATGATTCTGACAATCATCGTCACAAATGCTTTTTGGAAATAACAATGAACAGACGATCAACCTTTTTAGTAAACAGTAACATGATAATAAATTATGTAAAATTATTTTTTAATAATATCTATTCTTCTTATGTAATAATTACGTAATGTTATTGGGATATATAAATACATATATATATATATATATATATATATATATCTCTAAATAATAACAGAAACATGTCTATCTTTGGATTTTATCAACAATTAATCCGCTAATAAAAATTCTAGTTATAATATTTTTGATATTTTATCATGAAACATTTACTTCCTTTTTTTTTATTCTTATTTGTTTTACAATTGTTAAACCTTGTATTTTTTTTCATTAGCAATGTTCTATAATTTGGGTTATATATATATATATATATATATATATATACACCAGCAAGTAAAAATAAAAACATGTATGACCAAATTATTCTTAAAAGTTCTTTTGACATTTCTCACAAATGCACATGTTTTGGGATATTATTCACCTCTTTTACTGAAAATATCTTGTAAAGCTCATGACGTCAATGAATCCTTGAGTATAGATCAACTATTGCACTCCAAACCGATTACATCTTAAAGCCCAAACTATATTATCCACGTAATCAAATTAATCATCAGTTATCCCACCAAATGTACACTTCCATAACAGCATTAACAAAACGTAGGAAGGGACCCCACTCACAAAGCACATGTAGCGCTGATTCCAGTCCAACCGTTCCGACGAGAAACGAAGTCACAATTAGCCCACCACTAATCCAAACTTAAGCAAAACTAATCAACTTCTAATCTAAACGTTAGTTTTGGCTGAAAGGGATGGAGTCACGAGAGGATGGGCTCCAATTCGAAAGGGACTAGAGCTTGGCTGCCAACCAAGTATATATATATATATATATATATATACATACTACAGTATATTATAGTATACTATAATACTATAACTTATTCCAATTCGCCCTCCTCGCCATCAACTTGCACACCCCTTTGCTGCTTCCTTGAACTTGCAAACCCATGAGCTGGGCCAGGCTGAGGATACCAGTGCCGACCCGACCCGACCCGTGCCGCGCCGCGCCGCGCCGCACCCTAGAGGAGCAGTTCGTTGCCGGCAGAAACAAAGGGAAAGGGGGAGTGTTACAGTGGAAGTGGAGGTGGTAATGGGGCATCATATGCGGGATCCGGGTCTCCGGAACATCTGCGGCGCCTTTGCAAATAATGCCTCTTAAAAAGAGCTTCATTTACATCTGTCTTGTCACTTTCAACGATCCCCTGCACTGTCATCTTCTCCACCTCTTTCCGTCATTCTTTTCTTCCAGATCTGCAGTTTTTTGAGTAGTCTGTGAGCTAGTAACACGCAGTGTGTGTGTGTGTGTGTGTGTTGCACTGTGGGTATTCTAGATCTAGTGGCTTGTCGGTGTTTGGCTTAGATATTAGGGTGTCCAGGTGTTGGGAATCTACGGTTGCTGCCTACATTGTAACAATGGCTCCGGGGATGTTGAGTACGCAAGGGGAGGAGTCTGTGGAGATGGGATTTGGAAGGAACCGACAGTCGCTGGAGACGTGGAGTCGCATATCGAACCTTCGCCCGGTGCGCACTTCGTTACCTGGGAATGCTTGTAAGAAGCCTAAAGATTTTTCGGCTGTAAAGAAGCTGACATTGGATGGTTCCCTGTCGGTGGAGGAGGATGCGATGAAGGGGTCGGGTTGTGAGACGCCCAAGTCAAACGAGCACAGAATACCTTATGTGAATGTGGACTTCTGCCCTCCCGCACCGAAGAAGCCGCGCGGGAGGAGTCGGCTGGCGCTGGCATGCGCTCTTGAATCCCAAGACGCTAGCATGGGCCAGGACTTGAGCCTGGCACCATGCTACTTGTTCTGAATCCTCTCCATTGGGCGGAACACTCGGACTAGCGAGATCGCAGATCATATCTGCAACTATGGACTCTTTTGAGAGAGAGAGAGAGTAGAGTGGTAGGATGTGTTGTTGACCCCATGACCTCCTACATTTAGGGACATTTTTCTGCTACCTTAGCATATTCATGAGCAAGTTACGCGACCGTAGGTGCACCGAATAGCTCGTTCAGTGCGTATTATTTATCCTCAACATTGTTTACAGAATTACTCGTTCTGTGATACACTCGTAGTGGTGGAGATTGAGGAAGATGTGGCTCCTAGCGCCCGAATACGCGGTGCCTTGATTTTTATTCTAGTCCATATGTTTGTTTAATGCCACCAAGGTTAGAGTAGACAGTTTCTCATTCAACGGGGTCTTCCTTAGCAGAAGGCTTATCCGTTTTTTGAGTTCGTGAATGGTGTGCGTTCATATGCTATAATCTTGTTTCTATTGTCGCCCGTGACACTGGAGATTCAACACAGGTAATATTTCATTTGCAGACATCAATGACTTGTGTAAACTCACAACTACATGTACCTGCATGCGTGACTATGTTTTCTCTATTGCCTGCATGTGTACCTGCATGTTTTCTCTATTATTTGCATGTTTTTTTCAGTGGATTCAAAAATGACAGGAGTTACTAACAATGAGATCTGGATCGTGAGTCTAGACTTAGTGATAATAATCGGAGACATTACACACATTGCAATATATGCTGATTATAAATTTTTGTGACTTTTGCAGCCTGAGCATGAATCGGAAACGTGTGGCAGGCGTAAGGAACGTCTTCAATGATCTTCATTTCTAGCCTCGTAATATTCGCATGAGTAGAGATCGTTGCAGGGCGTTGAGTATGCAAGGATGATCCAGTAGGCAAAATAGACCGATTTTACAAATAGTGTTGTGGCACTACTATTTAATACAAGAAACGGAATTGTGCGTTCCTGGATCTCGCTCCATTATCTCGAGTTTATACGTCGGCAGTTTTATTGAATGACAGATGAAGAAGTATTAACTTCACTTTCACATGCAGTTCAAGAATGATAATCTACGTCAGTGTCACAAAATCTGCTATTCATCGGCGGTTGATAGCGTTGATGTGAAGGTGTTGCTGCTTGTTGTATGACCATCAGACAACACTGTTCATGTGGCTTTCTTCACATGAGCGGGTGTTCTCTTTGTGAGAGCCAAAGTTGCATCGCCCGTGTGAGCATGTGCACCAGCGTTTGCATTTTTGGACTAAACTTTTTCTCTTTAATTTATTTATCATTCCAATTCGTGTGATAACCAGCACAATCTCTTCTTTATAAAGAAACTCATGTGAGTAAAATCCGCTCCGAATGATTGAATGACTGATGTGAACATAAATGTAGGATTAAATCGTACAAACTCGTTCACAAATCATGCCGAACGGGTGTGTCATTAGGACCAGAAACTCTGACATATGTTCCAAAAATAGGAATGATGCACTGGTACCAGTGAACCTCTTGTACGCTGAAACTTGCATAAAGCAGCGTCGAAAACTTCGTTCAATTCCACACATTGATTGTACTGTGAAATTACACTTTGACAAGCTTTTGATGAACCTATCCATTTAGACCTTAACTGAACACTGAACATTAAGTGCACGCTTTGCAGAAAAATCTGCTGAAACTTGCAGTAGAGGAGGGTGATTGCAGATGGAAAGTGAAGTTGGGGTAGAGAGACATGCATTAGTGTAGTCGGTCCCATTGCATCATTGAGGTATAATGCCAGTTGTCGCTCAAAACTTTAGCGTTGGGGTACTGTTGACAATAGAGACTTGCATTGAACATGTAAATGAATGTCCCTTCAAAAGAGATGAGGATTGTCTAGCCACTCAAGTCTACAACAGACAACCCATGAAGTTGACCATTCAATAAGTAATAGAATATTGGGAGTTTTTTTGGGCATTTCAGATAAGAGAGTAGCTATAACCCACACAAATCTTGGGTTTGTACGAACATAACACTGCAAATTTAAAGATTGACAATAATGTGGTTTGTATTAGAATAGAATTTTGTCAAGCTAACATTAAATGTTTTGTAGAGAAAATATTCCTATTTATGTAAAATTTAAAATAATCAGTTAAAAATATTTAATAGAAAAGAATAACATACATTCGAAAAGAATGTACACATGTCAAACATACGATCCTAACAAATTTTGGTTCTAAAGCTTTTAGCAAATAGCATGAGAGTAATTAATTTGCTGACATTATTTGCATTAAAATGATTTTTTTACATATTAAAAACAACCTAAAAAGTTGCTCTTCGGTTTCAAAAAAGCTTTTAAAAAAATCAGAATTATATAATTTTTTTTAGGCTTTAAGTTAAGTAAAGAATATAAGCAAGAAGTTCAAGTCACCAATCAAATAACTAAAATATAAAAGATGGAAGCAAAAAGTACATGTCACCAAACCAATAATTAAAATAAGTATATGTGCGTGTGTCTAGATATATATATATATATATATATATATTAGAGCAACATGCCAACAAAATGTACATTATGTATTCTAAATGCTTACAAATTTCAAGAATGCAAGGTCTTAGCTACAACTGAAATCAAGCAAAAAAACAAATATATACATAAACAATAATTACTGAAACAGTTTCTAAGATAAAGTTAAAAGGTTGTAAAGAAAAAAATAGTTTATATAAAAGAGATTTGAACAAGCATTAAAAAATCAAAGATTTTAGCAACTCAGACACAGTTTTCCTTTGAATTTTTATAGCAATAGAACACATACAAAGAGAACATACAAAAACAAAATTGACAAATATATAACATGAAAAATTTTAAAAATTTTAAAATCTTTATGTATTCAAGCTTGTTTTTTCCTTGATTTATAACTACAAAATATAATAAAATAATTAAACCACATACAATGAATTGTAAAAAATATTAGTTTGGTGATGATGATACAAACAAGAAAGAGAATCCAAACCAAATAGTCTTAGTGTCAAGAAACAATAATTGGTCTTTTGAAACTATATTACAATCTAAATCTAATGACAAAAAGAATAGATTGTAATCCAAAACAAAATATATACAGACATGAATCACTATCAAACAAACAAATTTCAAAACTAATAAACTAATGTCTAATTTGTACCAAAATCTTTGTGTTCTATTAATGTTAAAAGAATATTATTAGAATACTATTAGTACCAAAAACACACGAACACAATAATTTTTAACTAATTAAGTGCAAGTAACTCAAGATGATATGTAAAATCCAATAAAATTGCAAAAAGTATTAAAAGTGATAATAAAAAGTAATACATATTAATGTCACATTATTAATGGCTAATGCAAAGATGATGGAATTAGGAAAAAATAATATCATTAGAGAAAAATAGTGCATCAAAAATAAACATAAGAAAAGAAAATAATGATAAAAAAAGGTACATGATATATACAAAGTACAATATAATAAAGAACATCAACATATCACAATGGATCTATAGTCTTAAATTTTTGGCGCTTGGAAAGTCATGAGATATTGGCAAGAAAAAATAGTAAAAGAAAAAGAAAAAGAATAAAAATAAAAATAAAAATAAATCACAAACTATCAGAAAAATTATTCTCACATTATTTCTCTACAATTTGATTCAAGCTCTACTACACAGAAAACAGTTTTGGAATGAAGTACAATATAGCAAGTTCTAAGTACAAACTTGTTTTTAGTGGCCTATCAAAATCTATTTCTACCACAATATATCATTTATTAAATAATTGTAATTTTAAAAAAATATATGAAAATAAGTAGTATTTATTAATCACTAAATATTTATAAAGATTTAGAGAAAGATCAACTATCTTTCAAAATAATACTAGAGTATATTACAAAAATTCAATAGTACAAGATTTATACAAAATAACATTATACAAACTTATAATATAAAAAAATTAATGGCACATAAGATTTAAAAAGATATAATTTTTTGTAACTAAAGTATTATAGAATTATCTCTTTAATTCCGAAAATTCCATCTACGAGATTTTTTATGTGCATTATAAAGATTCTTGAAAATCCAAAAATATTATAAAAAATCTTAAAGATTTTTTTTTTAAATCTTTTATATTATTCTAATATATATATCTAAAATTGAAATAAATTAAACCAAATCCATGTATATATATATATATATATATATACATACATATACTATTCAAATTTTTGCTAATTTATATAATGATACATCCTAACAATTCTTTAAAAATAGATTTAATTAAATTAACACAACATGATAAAAGGTAGCTTGAAATCCAAATCTTTTGTCTAAATCTAAATGGATAATCCACAAGTCTATTTTTTTGACATAATTAATATATCTAATAAGTAATACATTAAAATTTTACCAATATGAATGATAAAGTTATTTATAAAATTAATCATGTAAGATAAAATAAAACAATAATACCTCAATATGTCTGGAAAAGGCTTTTAAAACCATTTAAAGGTTTAGATGCAATAGAATTAATTTGCACAATACCTCTTCAACATAAGATTGCATTTTTAGAAACTTAAATTATTTTATGAAATACATTAGTTTATAGAAAGTAAAAATAATAAAAGAGTATCTATCCTTCATATATTTATACAAAATCATTTTAAAAACTATAAATTGTTATAAGTTTAAGACTTTTTAATATAATTAATATAATAATATTCTTAGGAGCTACTTTCTAAATAGTATAAGAATTAAATATTTATATCTTGTAAAAAAGAAAGAATTAAATTGGATTTGGTAATAAATGACTTTTATGCTTTTAAATAACTTTATTAAACATTCTAAAAAATGCTACAATACGAATTTTAATCTACTCTATTATAATTTATTTTTTCTAAGTAAAATTAAATAAATTATTACTTAGAATTATTTAAAATTTTATTTTAGCAATCTAAGATATTATTATTTAAATTAAGTAATAAAAAACCTTTAATAATGATAAAATTTGAATACTTAAAGTCCATTGATGAAAAATCATAGACTTTATTATTTACATTTACAAAGCACTTAGACTTATATCCCAAATATTTATTTATTGAAAACTAATATTACAAGAAAATACTTAAATGGGAACATGAAAAGGAAATTTCTTATCTATAAAGGAGTAAAATATGCTTGTCCTGCAGCTCTTTACCTACTCCTAATAGCAGAAAATATATTCAGTTTAATAATCTAGAAGCTGATCAAAGAGAAGAGAATTAGTGGAGTTCAATTCTCTAAAAGTTAGAATTAAAATCACCAAATCAAAAAGCAAAAAACTTCACAATAATTTTTATCAAAGAAGAAAAAGAAGACATTATTAGTAATAAGTTAGAAACCAACTCAAGTTCAATTTTGTCTTTATACTAAAATAAATTACTTGCAATTAATTTTATGTAAAAACTTTAAAATGAATTATTGATCAAAATTATCAAATTAAGAAGAATAAACCTAAAAAAACAAGATAAATCAAATACTAAAATAATATTGTATAGATTGTAAACTTTGATTTTTTATCTGATTAAATTTAAATAGAAAAAGTCATAGATAACACTGAATAACTACTATTTTAATTAATTTTAAATATAAATAGATTTCCATTAAAGGTTTTTATTAAAGACTTCATTTTTTTAATCTCCATATTTATATTTCTCTTTACATTCATATGAATTGGCACTCTTGAAGCAATCAAAAAATACCAAAATAATTGGGTAATTTCTTTTATAAATTAGTATTTAATACTATATATATATATATATATATATATATGTGTGTGTGTGTGTGTGTGTGTGTGTGTGTCTTTCTCAAAAGAAAATATATTTAAAACTAACTTTATCTACTATAGGTTTTTAATTTTTTAATTAATAGTAAGAAAGAAAATGTTGCCTAATTATGTTTAAAACTTTATTTTCATTTGTAAATAGAGTAGCGACTCTAAAAATAAGACCCGTATT